CAAGATTCTCTATGCAGGAGATGGCATATGGCTTTTCCAAAAAAATTGAATTTTTGGAAATCGTAAGAAAATCAGAAGTTTTGTAAATTGGAAGCCATATTTGAAGTGTTTGTGTGGCCCACACCAAACATTAAAACTTGCCCTGTAGTTTTTCGTTTAAGTTTTGTAAATCACTGAAGGTTCCCATAGTCATTTTCATATTCAGTGCAAGGCAGGCCCGTAGCCAGGATTTTGTTTCGGGGTGGGGTGGGGCTGAGTTTGGTTCGGGGGGCTGAGTCTGAGTGAAAGAGGGTCTACCCTAGCAAATCTTTTGTATCGTTACCCCAATACCCCCATGCATATGGGATATATTGAGCATGGTGATCAGATCATGATATGAATAAACATAACAGTTTAAATAATGTACCAGTAAGGCCTTCTCACGGACCACCATGAGAATTTGGGGGGGGACTGAAGCCCCTCAACCCCCCCACCCCCGGCTACATGCCTGGTGCAAGGCAAGGAAGCAAAGCCAAAGGCTGCCTTAGTAAATTGCCATTCCTCTGTGAAATTAATGCAGTCTCTGCATTAGCAACGGGCAAAAGAGAGAGCAGTGCATTTTGGGAATAGCACAGAACTCTGGGAGATGTAGTTTGGGAAGGGAGGAGCCCTGTGTCAGAGAATTCAAAAGACCCTGCTCTAAACTACATTTCCCAGACTACATCATCATCACCAATCATCACCAATCAGGATAGTGCAGAGAGAGGTCTGTCCATCCCTAAAACTTTGAAAATTTGCTAGAAATCAGTGGACAAGTGAAACTTTCTGAAATTTGGTGGGCTAACAGTGGTAAATGTGTTCTACCCTTGTGGTAAGTTTCATCTCAATGGCTTTAAAAATGAGGGAGATAGGAGCCCCTGAATTTTCCCCAATTATAGTCATTTAATTATGCACTGTTACTATAACGAAATAATAACAAAACATTGTTACTTTCTTTATAGTAACAAAATTTTCTCTAAGTATACTTAAGAAATACTTTAGAAACAAAGCATCAGTGCCCCCTAGTTCTTTAATGACTTTTGAACCATTTTAATGGATCGTATGTGTGTATGAGAAAAATCATAATTCTGCACAGAAAATTCTGTTTTCTGCACAAAAATTTCACCTAGGAATTTTGTGCAGAATAGTCCCCTGGAATTCAAAGATTTCCATCAATCTTTTTTTTGCAAGTTTTTGATTCATTCTTTTTTTAAAAAAATTATACATAACCATAATTACCATGCTCTTTTTGCTTTTTCATTCCCTTTCCCTCCCACAACCACCCTTCCTCTTTCCGTTACATGAGCCTTCTTTCTATTTTATCTAATTTTTTTCTTCCACCTTTCATAATTTAGTTTAACAACCTGTAACCATCTGTTAAACAGAGTCAAATTTATTTAATTTTCTTCTGTTTGTCTGACCATGTTTTTTGCTTCTTATAATGTCCGTAATATCCAGTTGTATTTGGTCCCACACATATTCATACAAATGTCCACTTATTTTTATCTTTCCACTCCCAAGCTATCACTGTGTGTGCTGCTCTAAAGAAAATCATCATAGGAATTTTGTGCAGAATAGGCCCTGGAGTGCAAAGATTTCGATCGATCTAGGATTCCTTCATCAATATTTCCTGAATTTTATTTTCTGCATATCTTTTCCCCCCTCAAATCTCCATTTACCACAGAAGAACGTTGGTCAACTTCACAACAAATAATGGGAAGTTTATCTCAGACCTCCAGGATGAATAGGGATCTCAGGCTGGATCTACACCACCCTATATACCAGGATCTGATCCCAGAATATCTGATTATCCCAGATTATCTGGCAGTGTAGACTCAAATAATCCAGTTCAAAGCAGAGATCTGATCCTGGGATACAGGGCAGTGTAGATCCAGTCCCAGAATTTTGCAGGAGGCAGCCACAGGATTTCAGATGGGATGCATTGTCGAAGGCTTTCATGGCCAGAATCACTGGGTTGTTGTAGGTTTTCGGGCTATATGGCCATGTTCTAGAAGCAATTTTTCTCCAGAACATGGCCATATAGCCCGGAAAAACCTACAACAACCCAGCAGAAGTAATGTTTGATGGATGATGGTATTTACAGCCTTGGAGTGTCTAGGGAAGTGGTTCTCAACCTGAGGTCCCCAGATGTTTTTGGCCTACAACTCCCAGAAATCTCAGCCAGTTTATCAGCTGTTAGGATTTCTGGGAGTTGAAGGCCAAAACATCTGGGACCCACAGGTTGAGAACTACTGATGTAAAAGGATTCACCAAGCCACTCATCATGTGAGTGGTATACAAAGGGAAATCAGACTTCCTTCCCCCCTCAGCCTTAAGCGGCTGAGGGGAAAGGAAGGGGCCTGAGGCTGTTAGGAATTGTGGGAGTTGAAGTCCAATACACATGGAGGGCCAAAGTTTGCCCATGCCTAGTCTAGGGACACACATAGTCCATCTCTGTGCTACAAAATTTAGCCCTTAAACTGAGTCAGGTTGCATCTACACTGTAGAATTAATGCAGTTTGACACCGCATTAACTCTCATGACTCCTTGCTATGGGATTGTGGGAGCTGCTGTTTTATGTGACACTGGTATTCTTTTGCAAATAATATCTTGTAAAACTACAACTCCTACAATACTATAACACTGAGCTCATAGAAGCTAAAGTGGTACCAAACTGCATCCATTCCACAGTGTAGATGCAACCAATGATGGAGAAAGCCGAAAAATTACCGTCCCGCTTTGAGAAAAAATTACATTCTGGCGTTTATGAACTGATGAAATTCCAGACATGACAAATTGCTCAAACCCACCGTTAGTACAATCTATAAAGGAACACAATCCCGCTGTGAATTACTGACACACCAGACTATAATAATTAACATGACACATCAATACATTTTTTGAAAAATAATAGAAACCGTTCTATATATAGCAAACGGGTTAGAGCTGCTCTTTTGAGGCTGCTCAGCAATCAATACTGATTTATAAGCTATCTTAAGTTTTAATAATATGGCATTTACTACAGATAGGGCAACGCTGCAGAAATGCACGGGGAAAGGACAGTTAATCATACGAGATAAATATCTTTTCGGAAAAGAGTGGTACGCTGTAGCTTTTTAAAACTAAAGACTTTGCAAAGACTATTTCCAAATAAAAGTTGGCGAATTCTGGAAAGAGATGTAGATGATCACGGAAAACTTCGTCACACACCAGAGATGTTACGAAGAAAATAAAGGAATTGTACAAAAACTAGGGAACCCCCAGTGGTGCAGCGGGTTAAACTGCTGAGCTGCTGAACTTACTGACCAAAAGGTCAGCAGTTTGAATTCGGGAAGCAGGGTGAGCTCCCGCTGTTAGCCACAGCTTCTGCCAACCTAGCATTTCGAAAACATGTAAATGTGAGATCAATAGGTACCGCTCTGGCGGGAAGGTAACGGCACTCTATGCAGTCATGCTGGCCACATGACCTTGGAGGCATCTACAGACAATGCTGGCTCTTTGACTTGGAAATGAAGATAAACACCAACCCACAGAGTCGGATTCAACTAGACTTAATGTCAAGGGGAAACCTTTACACACATTACACATCTAAATCAGTTTGATGCTACTTATCATTTCTTTTCATTTCATTCTGTAGACTTCAGGGGCCATTTATACCACGCAAAATCCTATTTTTCTTTATTTATAACATTTTTATTTACAACATTTGTATCTCGCCCATTTCAGCCCAAAGGCGACTCAGGGCTGTGTACAAGTTGGCAACAATTAGATGCCATATATAAAAATACATACAGCAATAAAAAGCAAAAAACATCACAATACATTTAAAAACCATAAAAGCAATGAATAATAAAAATTATAAAAACTATGTTCTTGCCTAAGAGAGCACGTCTCTAGGTTCCCATCTACACTGCCATATAAACCAGTTCCTGAATCCAGGTGATCTGCTTTGAACTGGGTTATACGGCAATGTAGACTCATATAATTTGGTTCAAAGCAGATAATCTGGATTCAGAAACTGGATTATATGGCTGTGTAGATGAGTGCTGGGAATTTCAAGGTCTCCCAGGATAACTCTGTGGCCCCCATCATCAAATCCAGATGATCTGCTTTGAACTGGATTATATTAGTCTGCATTGCCATATAATCCAGTTCAAAGCAGATAATCTGGATTTTCTGGGGCCTATGATCGACTTGTACTGGAAGTTTACCATAGAATTGCACTGGAGGACCTAGACATTTCTCAAGAGAACATTTTAGCCATATCGATGAATAATCAAATCTGCAAAAGTGCAAATGTGGATTGATGACTGCATTCAACTATTAATTCCTGTCTATTAGAACTAAATTGATTAAAAAACTATTTCTCTACACTGTGCACCAAATCTGCAGCAAATTGCTAATGTAAGTGGACAAGGATGTTTTACAGACTTGTTTGTTATGGGGACATTTACACTGTAGAATTAATGCAGTTTGGCACCGCTTTAATTACCATGGCTCAATACTATGGAAGCCTGGGATTTGTAGTTTGGGGGGTACCTGCAGTCATGGGTAAACTTGGGCCCTCCGGGTGTTTTGGACTTCAACTCCCACAATTCCTAACAGCCTTCAACCCTCCAGGTGTTTTGGACTTCAACTCCCACAATTCCTAACAGCTGGTAGGCTGTTAGGAATTGTGGGAGTTGAAGTCCAAAACACCTGGAGGGCCCAAGTTTGCCCATGCCTGGTGCAGATGCACCTTATGTTGTGTTATGATTGTCACTGTGGGCACTCCACCCACTTTCGGCACAGTTTTCCTTTTCAAGCAGTGAGTCCACATCTTACGCAGTCTTTGATGTCTCTTGGGAAGCATATGGACTTCGAAGTATATCCACCACACTCAGGTAGGCATGCACAGAATTGTTGCTTTTATTTACAAAACATCTGTCTTCCAGCATGACAGACGTGGGCAAAATAACACTTAAAAAAATGCTATTACTTACCACGTGAAGGATTTTATTTTCTGTTTCATACACCGTGCAATCCTGCAACGAGAGACGGGAGAGAAACGGTATTTAATGCCCTTAGAAATCCACTTCGTTTCAGCAATTTTAATAACTCCTTGAACAATAATGCCACTTGGGCCATGGCTGATACCAATTGTCTTGCTTGGATGCATGACAAGCAACACCTGTTGAAATTTCCCCATTCTACACAACTATTAAAGGTACAAGGGTGCTTTTCGATTTTCTGTCTGCAGCTCATAGGACTGTGGCATCTAAAAAGAGGGCATTGGGGAGAGTGAGGGAGGAGATGTACTGATTAGGCCTTTGAAGACTGCCCGGAAGCTTCAACTAGTCCAACGGTCGGCAGCCAGGTTGCTCACTGGAGCGACGTACAGGGAACATACAACTTCTTTGTTACGTCAACTCCACTGGCTACCGATCAGCTTCCGAGAACAATTCAAAGTGCTGGTTTTAACCTTAAAGCCCTAAATGGTTCTGGCCCAGACTACCTGTCCGAACATATCTCCTGCCATGAACCATCATGATCTCGATCCCACCACTATCGCAAACACGGTTGATGTTGCATCCCAGTTCAAAAAACGAGACCATAAGATTAAATCCACCACACTGGACTGTAGGAAAAGCAATCCTTGTTTATTGATGAAAAATTGGTTACAAAAGAAAGGTAAATGCAAAGTCAAAAAGCCACAGGAAAACACAGCAGTCAGTAGAGTCTCTGAACTTGAGCAAAATTTCAAAAGTCACAATACAAGAACCAGGAACCTGTTAGCCTTTTACTAACCATGAACTTGATAACTAAGCCTCTGGGATTACCGGCCATGAAACACAGGAATTCTGCCAAGGCACAGCCACAGTCCCAAACATTGCTTGATCTAAAGAGGCACCCAGCAGGAGGCCTCTTAAACCAAAGAAGCTATTCTTTGAAACGCCCCTTGACTTTTACGTCTGGACCTGCCTCTCCTATAAACGATGTGACCTTCGTAGAAACTGGGAAATATTTCTGTCTCTAACTATCTGTTCTCTTCGGTCCTCATTAAAAACCCCAGGTGGAGAGATATCACGGCTAGTGATATCACGGCTAACTTCCAAAACATTTTCCTCCAGCTGTTGAGTTTCATTTTCATCCCCGCTGACCTCTGCATCAACAACAGATTCCACACTGTCAGGGTCAGGGAGAGCTTGCTCAGTTGGAAAAACTATCAGATAATCCAAACACAGTTGATGGGGACGAGAGACAGGGCCTTCTGAGCAGTGGCCCCCCACCTATGGAACACCCTCCCTAGAGATATCAGATTGGCCACCTCCCTCTTGTCTTTTAGAAGGAAAATCAAGACCTGGTTATGGGACCAAGTTTTTGATTAGTGAGCAGCAAGTGGAAGAAGATCACACACTTATGGCAATAAATTGACCCAGACTGGTTTTTGGATTTTGATTTGAATGGATGTGTCTTAATTGTTTTAATTGTTCTTTTAATTTTTAATATTTTGATTGTACTGTGTTTGTTTTTATGATGCTAGCATCGTATGATGCTTTTGTTAGGCCACCCTGAGTCCCTCTTCAGGGGGAAGACGGGCGGGATATAAATACAAGAAATAAATAAATAAATAGGCATGGTTAGATACCGTCAGAATCTTCGTAATTCAGAATAAATTCTGAAAATTGCCTTTTTGAAGCGATTTTTAACTTTTTTAGGAAACCGGAAGTCTCTTTCCCCCTCGCTTCTGGTCCCTGGCCTTGGCTCAAGCCAGAGAAGCCAGTTTTAAATCAGAGAAGGAAGGAATTTCCTCCGCTTGCTTTTCCCCACTTCTGGAGTAAAACAACTACTTTCAAAGTAAAGACCACCCGATGAAACAGGACATAACACTTTCAAACCATTAACGAAAGGATTCGGAAGTCTCAGAAGTTTTGAAAAGTTTTGAACATTTTTTTCTATGAGAATCGGAATTGAACCACCAGAGCCCCCTACATCCAAAACAAGTTTTGAACCATTTTTTAAAATCAAACAAGCCTAGTACTGATCTAGGATCTGTCAAAAATTAAAGCTACAGAAAGCCCCATCTGTATTCAACATGGATACTCTATATGTTAACCACTGTAATGACCATCTTGTTAAAAACCAGATTCCCACCTCTTCAAAGGGGATTGCCAACTAGGACAAAATCATCATTTGATACGATAACAACCACAAACAAGTCAAATTATAAATCGCCAAATGACCATAAATGCTAGAAACAAGATGAGATAGAAGCTGGTGCCCTCCTCTACATTTCTTGCCAATATACTTTTCTACAAAATTACTCATGGAATAAGCAAAACACAAGGATGATTGGAGTATTTGGTGACATCTACATTGCTGTACTGGTGCAACAGATTAAACCGCCAAACTGTTGAAACTGCTGACCTAAGGGTTGGCAGTTCGAAGCCATGGGTTGAGGTGAGTTGCTACTGTTAGCCCTAGCTCCTGCCAACTTAGCAGTTTGAAAACATACAAATGTGAGTTGATCAATAGGTACCGCTTTGGTAAGAAGGTAATAAAGGTACCCATGCAGCCAAGCCAGCAAACACGCCCAGAAGGTGTCTACAGACATCAGGCTCATCGGCTTGGAAATGGAACAAGAGCACCCCCCATGGCCAGAATTGAACACTGCCTCCAGAAAGCCAGAGATGAAAGGGGAAGCCTTTACTTTTGTTCTGTGTATTTGTATTTCATTGTTATTTCCACTGTATTAAAGGCATTGAATGTTTGCCTCTCTGTGTATGTTGTAATCCACTCTGAGTCCCCTCAGGGAGATAGAGTGGAATATAAATAAAGTGTTGTTGTTGTTGTTATTTGATACACAACAAGATTAGTACACAGCAAAGAAGATCACTATGCTGGCTTTTGTATTTGATCACACATTGGACACTTCCCATATGTCTAGGACTGTGTGATGTATTGGCGAATAATGCGTGCAGATCCGTGTAGGGTGGCCTTTTGCAGATGATAATTTTGTCAGTGCTGATTGTTTTTAAGTGCAGGCCAAGGTCTTTAGATACTGCATCCAGTGTGCTGATTATTATTATTATTATTATTATTATTATTATTATTATTATTATTATGCAGTTGGAGACTTTACACTGATCATACAATGCAGTTTCAAACTGTATTATATGGCAGTGCAGATGGGGCCCCAAAAAGGGGTGTTAGCATCAGCATTGTTCTTTTGCATACATGAATGAATAAATGAGGCTCACAACTGCAATTACTATATATACATTCATGCATAAGTCTAGGAACATTAGTCAAAATAACCCTCCTAAATCTGGGCTGACTTATCCAGGGGTCAATATGAATACTGTAACTTAACTCTTATTCAAAAATGAATCATCCCCTTCTCTGGGTATTTTGGCAACATCAAGAGCTTAGTCTATCTTAAAAAGAATTACAATAAACACCAATCCTCTCTATTCCCACTGCCACAATACTGCTTCTGGTTTTTCTGTATGTCTAGATGAGAATATCTTAGTAATGGTGGCCAGGGTGGTGAGCCCTTTATGGATGGCATTGGCATTTTCCTCTTTCCACATTATGACCCTCAACTTATCCAAAGGTGATATTAATGTCTCTAACTTTGATCCCAAACCCTGCCTCTACTTAGGCAATAGGTCAACTTATACAGCAATATATATAGTAGGTTAGGATTGCAATGTTCCACAAAAGCCATTAATTGTATTGGTTCAGATCTCACCACACTTCTGACATGTTCCAGAATATTTCACTTCCATTAATTTTGCCTGATTCATTTAATATCTACTGTAATTTGACACTGGGGACTGGGAGATTCCTGCAAAAACAAGGAATGGACATTCCCCCCTCTTGCCAAAGAGACATGGTATTTTGAAAACTACTGCTACTGGCTTGCAGCCAGCATAGCTATATGCTGATTGCAGATCACTTAATTTCCTGTCATTACAAGTCTTTCAGCACTTGGGCCACAGCCAGTTGTGCAAATAGCTGCTACTTAAGAGCATCCATTGCATTTAAGCAAGGATACATGTTCATTTGTAGATCTATACCATGTCATCTCCTATTTCTTTGATTTAGCTAAAACTAACTAGCTTAGGTACCCGCTATTGCCTTGGTTTGCATTTCATTGTGGTCTGTATTACTAAACATAATTGTTAGTATTATGAATATAAGGATGATTCTTTCACTGGACTGAAACACAAAGCAGTACTTTCTCTGTCCCTCAGGTAGTAATCGCACCTGGCTGATTTAGGTCTCTATGGCTATCTGTTGGGGCATAGCAGCAAGATGCTGGAGATGCTGGGGATTACTCAGAGGATGAGGCTTGTTGCACTCCAGGTCAGGAAAAAGCCCTCTGACTTTAAAACACATCACATGAAGAGTGAAGAAACCAATCTTCTTTTATTGAAGCTTAGTAAATAGCCAGAAGAAATAAATGCTTGTAAGAAAATAAGAAGGTTCCAAAAAGTAATAAGTCCATAAAAGGCAGTAACACAAAGCAATGTCCACACCAGATATAAAAGCAATCCAAGACAATGTTTATCCAGACAGGAATCAACAGGATGCAAAGACAATCCAAAAGGCTAAAAAAACTCCACAAGAACAAGACCCCTTGAACAGGATTTCCATGGCACATGAACTTGATTTCCAAATGATGCCTGATCTAACAGGTTTTCCCTTGAAGTAAACCTTATATTCCAAAACCCAGAAATTGGTTTTGCTTTCCCACACACTTGCCCCTTATCAGACAAAGCCTTTCAGAGCGACTTAAACACTGAGTTTGCTGTCGATCCTGGCTGATCTCCAGCCGCCTATTCTTCAACTCCCTATCTGGCTGCTCATTAAAATTCCCAGGTGTCAGATTGCTTTCCAAACCCAAATCTTGAGAGCTCACGGTGAGAGGAAGTGAGCCATCATTGCTAGGCCCAGCAGGGATATTCTCATGAGAAACTGCCCTTTGCACTGGGGCCTCTCTGTCATTGTCTGTATGAAAATCATTGACCAAACAATC